CACCGATGCTGGCCACGGCCAGTGCTCTCTGCCTTGCCCTTGGAGGCCGCAGCACTCCCAGGCCAGCCATGACAGCAGTGTGGCTCCCCCAGGCCAGCCCTGTGAGTGCTGCAGAGGTTCCCTTGGCCTCTGCCCTCTGGTGACAGGCTCTCTGTGCACAGCCAGCCCACGGCGAGGTGCTGAGGCTGCAGTTTGAAGGCCATTCCCATAACTTTTGAGAGAACTGGCAGGTTGGAAATGAGCCAATAGTTCAGATAGATTGTCAGGCAATAAGGAAAGTCATTAGACAGGGAATGTCTGCAGCTGCTTTAACCTGAGCAGGACCTGCCAGGTGTCCAGGGGAGTCAGCCACTGCTGAAGCAGGTCTGTCTTACCCACGTCCTGAAGGCCACGCAGGCCAGGAGGGCAACCAGAGGTCAGCAGCCCCAACCCCCAGGTTGCTACTGTCTCCTGCGCGGGGCACCCAAGCCAAGCTGGGAAGGCAGCGGCCCTCCTGTTCTGAGAGCCAGCATCGACAGGGACCAGCAGCTGGCTCGGCAGCTCCAGCCACAGACCAACTGGGGAAGCGGCAAGTCAGAAAGCAGGGACAAGAGCAGTCTCCAGGCTGTTTAGAGGCCATGAGTCCACAAAGCACAGCTGCGGTCAGGTTCGTCCACAAGGGCAGCAGCAGTCCCCAGTGCCCAGGAGGGGAGGAGGAGCTGCCTCGGGAAGCTGGGATTTGGCCGCCTCCCACACCCAGACCTGCCTCCAGCTCCTGGGTCCTAGGAGAGCCTCACAGGCAGGGCACGGCCACATGCTCACATACCCCCCTCACACTGCAAGCAACAGGGTGCCCCCCTCCATGCTGTGGGAGCCATGAGAAACTGTCCAGGACTCAGAAACCACCACAAACACTGACTGGTGACACAGACTTCTGTGCGACAGATGATGTGGCACCTGAGAGGACACACATGGCTGACAAAGGCAGACCCAGCAGCTAAGGTCTTGCTCCCACACTGGGTTCATCCAATCCTCAAGGCTGCTCCAGAGGCCCCTTCTGCATGAAGCTTCACCACCCACCAGGCCACCTTCATGCAATTCATGGAGCTACACTGAGCGTAGTGCCCTCGCCACGTTTCCTAGTGGCTGGCTGCCCAGGTAGCCTCCCGGTGATGATGAGCTGGCACGACATCTCACTCACGGCACCCTGTGCCTGGCACAGTTTGCCCATCGTCTGAGGCTGCAGGGGAGTCCTGACCTGGCCTCTGCATTCCAGGGAGGCCGAGGGTGCCCAGGGGTCACCATGTCCACTGGACTCAGCAGTGGGTGGGAGGATGGGAGCACCAGGAGGGTTTTCACAGCTGCCACACAGCAGGAGCCGCGCAGGGCCCATGGGACAGGGTGCCTCTTCGATGGCCGCAGCAACAAAGCTGAAACTGCAGAGCAGCGTCCACACTGGGAACAGAGGATCATGGGGATAGGCCAGGCCCCCCTACGCGCTCAGCAGCCTTGCAGGTGTCCAAGGAGTGGAGGGACAGACCTCTACAATTCTTGAGGTCAGTGTGACCCACGTCTTGGTCCCCAGGAAAGATGGTGAGCTGCACGGTGTCCACGCTGAGGTCCTACCTCCCACGACGACCTGTCCTTGTGTGTCCCACCGCCATTTATGTGGCTCTTGGATGCTCCCAGTCATCTGCGGCTAAGTCCTGTAGTGCCCAATTCTTGTCCTCTCCAGTTTCCTACTCAATTCGACATGCTGCTGAGGGAAGTGTCCTCCCTTCTTCTGCCCTCGCTCCTGGACATCTGTCTGGCCAACCCACTGGCCTGCACCCAAGTCTACCCTTGTCCCTCAGCCCCACTTGGGATAATGGGAAAGACCAATGCCTCTGTCCTTGGTCCACTTGTGCCTTCAGCCTTGAGACCCATAGGTCTCCTGAGGTGTCCACCTAAAGCCCTGCTGTCCCTCTACTCCAGAACTCCCTCAGGGATGCCAGTGCCCACCCTCCACACTCTGCAGTCTGGCTTCGGGTTCTCGCCTTTCCAACTGATTGCCAGGACACCCCATCCTCAAGTCTGGTAAGTTGGCCCCGTGCACACCCCGCCTCTGAGCAGCAGCTCAAGCCACACTGGAAGGGCCTGGCCTCTGGGGTGGGCTCTGCCTATCCTTGAAGTTTCACTGGCCACCTTCACAAGGATGTCCTCCAGCCATTCCACCCACGGGCAGCTCTTCCTTACAGCTCTGAGGTCAGCACAGACCCAGGAGGGGCACGGTGAGAACAGAGGCCCTGTGGGGCCCTCCTCCTCACTGCCACCTTCAGTGTTCTGTCAGGGCCTAGGAGAGAGATCCCAGCGTCAACTGCGCAGGCCACCTCCATGCTGCTCCAAGCCAGAGCTCTGAGGGTGTCAGGGTGGCTGCCCAGTGCAGCATGGGCCTCTCCCCGCTCTGGGTGCAACAGCAGGTGGGACTTAACCTTCCAAAGAGACTCACAAGTTCCCACCTGCTTCTGACAATGAAGAGAGATGGGGTCCTGCCACATGCAGTCAGCCTCCACCTCCACCCATAGTTCCCTGCTGTCCCTCAGTGCTCAGCCCCCACCTCCACCCATAGTTCCCTGCTGTCCCT